CATAAAGGGGAAGGAGCAATAAGGAAGAGCTCTTCTGTAATTACGCCTTGATAACTTCAAACCAAATGAACCTAACTGAATACTGAAAGGCACATTCCAGTCTACAAAAAACTTCATTGCAGTTCTCTACACCCACGGCATCAGAAGATTTTCCAACGGACACGGTGCACGGCTTGAACTCAACGAGGTATCCGACGGTACGTGGGTCATTACGACGTTATCGGAAATGTGGGTCGGAAGGGGTTTTGCACAGCTAAAGCTACTGTATCTAGAAGCTATCCACTAGTGAATAGATTCAAGAAATTATCCAAAGAAATTATCCATCAACCAGACGGAGCAATTAGGGTTGTCCTAGTGAATAGAGCGTGGTGGCAGATGACGTCATATTTAAGGACGATGAGGGCAGTGGAAGTGGCCTGCATCTGCACATAGAGGAATGTCTAGGAAATATTTTGCCGTAAAAGTTTCACCAACAGCGGCACCCTGTGCGACGAAAAGTTTGATGATGTGCGCCATGGGTAAAGTGACTCTTTTTTACTGTCTAAGTGGGCGGCGGTGAATAGCCGTGGGTGGCTGACGCAACACACTACGTGCGGCCGAATTAAACTCATGAAAGCTCAGTGTGACTACCCCAACCTTGAAGGACCCAACAAAATCCTGTAGAAACAATAAAAAAGGACTTCATGTTTGAATCCGGATCGTTTGAAATTACATACCTGCTAAACGGTGACGCAAGCTGTTCACGTTGTCGTTCTTGAAATTCTCATTGAGTACCGCTGGATCGTTAATTGGAAAAAGCTGAGACGAAGTTTCCTTTACCAGATCACCGACGACCCCACTGAAGGTCGCCGTTTCCTCTGTAAAGTCGTCATGAATAAACAGTGAAGTAGAAGGAGCCGTTCCCGATGAAACAGATCATTTTGATCTGATTAAAGGATAAGTAATCACCGTATTTCAAAAATTTGATGCGGCATACGTGAAGATATGGATCGTTTCCGTCCAAATCAGCAGCCTTCTTCAAACATTTGAGCATGAGCAACGGCTTCTGCTGTAAAATACAAAAAAATGTTGTTGCAAGACGAAAAATAGAGCATAGCTTAGCATGTTTTAACTAGCTCATGAAGTAACTAGTTCCAAATCATGTCAATCACTGAATAGCCAAATGAAAATAGCTTAAATGCAACCCATTTTGCAGAGCTGAAATCGCAAAGTTAACAAAAAAAAACATAAATATACTCCTTATATTATAGTCAGCCAAACTACACTGGGCATGAACCTGAGTTGTGTGACAATAACCGAGGAATCATACAAATTGGATGTATCTCAAACACTTCTCAACTCTTAAAAGTAATTTTTAGAATCAACAAGAAAACCAATCCACGTCATCAGTTATCATCACGTAACTTCGAAAGACAATGAGTAATGAGAGATGATGCGCGCATTCATCAAAGAACTGCACCTATGATCGAACGATGTGAAACTCATAAAATACGATGGATGGCTGCACCCAACGCATGCAACCTTCTCTCCTTCACATGAACCAGTCAACTGGCAAAACCAAGACAAAAATTCTTGAAAATTTCAAGTAAAAGAAACCTTTCTGTGATACACTTCAAATCCTAGATTGTACGCCAAACCAACCCTTACAGTGACGGTTACTTCCAAGCCATGCTGCAATATGAGCCGAATCACAATTTACGCATCGTCCGAGCAAATGGCTTCTGTCTTTTACCAGCGCATCTTCTGCCGTCAACTGCACTAAAGAACCAAAACGACGAAGAGTGCTATTTCAACCTATCTAACACCCAACCAAATCTCGCAAAAATGAAATTGTAATCACAATCAACCATGACAATTTCAACCAGAGATTTTGCAAAGCATCAACAGATTCACCCCACGTTCTTCTGTCGCTCCCCCTCCTCCTTATCCTTTGGTTGCTTTTGTTGTTGCTTTTTCAGTTTCTTCAGTTCCGCGGCGGTAAGACCGTCTGCTACCGGACCAGCACCCGTGAAATCTTGTGGACGATCTACCATCCGCAAGTAAATCTGAAGTACGAATCACTACAGCTAGGTATACGCCCAAGAACAAGTGCAAGGACTGGATGAAATTCATTGCCCACTCCTGGCACAATTTTTTTTACAAAAACCCCCCCTTATTCCAGCCCCATAGCCCTTTTTTGTGTTTTTGGCCCCCTCCCCTAGAAAACGGTGACTCACGCCGAAACATCCTCAACGACCAACTTAGCCTTACTGTACATACCGAACACATGCCCGTCACTTCCTTTCGCCTTATTGACAATCAATCTTGCGAAGCATACCTGCATCCTCGATCCGATGCCCCACCGAAGTGCTCAAATTGACGCTTTTAATGAAAATCCACACAAAATAAAAAAAAAAAAATACATACCTGCTCTATCTGATGTGCTTTCTTCAATGCATCACTGTATTTCGACTTCCGCCCCCAAGGAAACACCCTTACGCGTCGAACCAGTGCAACTCTGCCGGCAAGTATCACCAAAAACACCTCCATCTCAGACAACAGTAACTCCTCACCACCAAAACCCTGTCACCTTCCTAAAACCAGATCTGTGAATGATATTCGAGAATGTTCCGGAGTAAACAACAATTTCGAGCGGCCTCCACCCCCTTGCAACCTGTCTCTTCTCCTTCCTTATATTTCCGACACACAGTATTATAAAGCATAATGGAGAACGACCCCCCCACACCCACGAACTCATTAACCCTTATAAAATTCCGCTGCCGCCTACATATCTTTTTCTCATGCCAAATCAACGTATCTCCCTTTGCCCCTCCGCCACCCGCCAGAAACGACAATTTTCCATTTCATCTTTGACCACCATCGTAATCTCTACATATCATCCCCTCATACTACGCCCATATCCAAATACCACCTGGGCTTTCTTAATCATCCAAGCTAATTCCCAGTCCACCCCCCCTCGGAATAGTCACCAGCGTGCTGAAACAAAATAAGTAATCATTAGCTGGATGGAAAAATTTCTAGCGAGAAACTCACAACAAGGATTCATCTGTGGAAAAACGTGCCTCATTGTTAAAAGTATAACTAGTGACTCTTCATTTTTTGAAAAAAAGGAAAGGTAGAATAACACGGAGGAAACCCAAATCCGCTCACCTTGTATATTTTCGCCTTGATCATAAGAGTTTCTATCAAAGTCGGTGTATGGGCGAAAGCACACTCCGCGTACTTCAAGGCAACCGGGATATTTCCCACACGATCGAAATGTTGAGCAATCAGTAGGTACAGCCAAAGTGCGGAAGTTGGAGACTCCATTTCTTCTTCGTCACCTAAACCGTAGAGACTGGTTTGCAAACGCATCATTTATAAATAGGAATGAAGTAAGTAAACAAACCATGGAATGAGCCACCTCTGTAACCATTATTCTCAACTTTTTTGACATAATCCAATAACAACTGTTCAATAATAGCGACCTAAAAACTAATCTTTGCACCACCAATAAGGCCAGAAATCAAAACATACAGGCAAAAACAGTTGGGACTAACCTTTGCTGGGTTGTCATACAGAGGAACTAAGTTCTTGAAGAGACTTGGTACGCCCTTTCGGAGTCCCTTGACTATCCAGTCGTCAAGACGGCGGCTCAACTCTAGACCCTCCAAAAGATACAAAGGCTGACGCCGTGGAGCTGCCGCTCGCTTATGTCGTTCAGCAAAACTGTCGTACATTGATACACGTTCAGAAATAGGAGCTCCTAAAATGACACTCAATGCAAATACTTTTCAACCAATACATACTCGGTACTTTTCAACCAGGCATTTGTGATTATGGAAAGACTACCCCTGAGCTTATTGTGTTCAGCACTTTTCTGCGGCCACAGACGTACTAATTAGAAGAATAAAGTGATCTGGAAATTCACGGAAACGCTACTTCCAAGCTGAGTTACTCAATAGAATCGATACGTATCTGATCCTACTGGAGACTACTGATCCTACTGGAGACTCTCCTAAATTCTCCCGATCCATGTAACTAATCCTAGTACGAATGCAGTCATTTCGCATTGCAAATGGCTATGAACGATTCCTTACGTGGTAGAAAAGTCGTGGTAGTACTCCTACCAATCAGTCACTTGCGAACCTATCTAGTATTTTACACAAACCGGGCATATTATGTATTTACAAAACGCAGTATGATTTGAAGATGTCTCTCCTCTGAGATCAGCGAGAGTGATATTACAATGCAATCTTATGCCCAAAGATCTGATCATTAGAATTACTTCAATGTAAAACGCGCTCGAATATTCATTATTAGATTAATCACAAGGTTACTGAATAGAAAATTAACATTGCCCATCACCTCTCCTCCCGCCGCCCAAGATCAAATCTCAATTTATCGTAATAAGCCCAAGGGTCTCTTCCGCCCCGCAATTCCCTCACGCCGTCAATAAGTTGGCGGCGTATACTTTTTCTGATTCTTCATAGTCCGAGATCCATTCAAAATTGACCTTGAAAAGAATGAATCAGACGCAAACTGAAGCCAGCTTGCTGTAGACGCAAACACCTAGCAGGGAAGGCTGGATGCATAGTCGTAACAAGTGTGTGACAAACAACGATTAAAATTCGAAACTTCTTGAACTGTCGTATTCCGTTTGTTTTAAAAGATCAAAGAATCTACAATCCTATAAGTCGTCTAAACCTATGCCTGCTCGAAATCTGGCCCCTTCCTGCTATGTTTGAAAACGTCATGACGTGTCTTTTTTCACTATCACCCAAGATGACTGTACAATTTCAACCCAAACGTTACATCTCAGAAGTGAGTTTGCTCTCTCACAAAAATATCGTAAGAGCTCATTTCTCGGGTTTCGACGATTCCCCTTAGTTTTCTCGAGGACTTCTGCATCTATCTAACTACCCCCACCTCTTCATAATTAATGCCAGAAATTATTTGTAACCAGCCCCCAATTTGCTACGCTATCGTAGCCTCTAACGATGATCAGTATTAGTCGTTGTGCACTCCACGCACGCTATACATCCCCCTCCCCCCATGCCACTCTTACGTGTGGCTGTTTATGAGGCACTTTCTACCAACCTGCCACAACACCTGAGTCAGTTTGTGTAATGCTATTTCAGCATTGTAGTGGCGATAACCTTCTTCAGTAGGAGAAGGAGGAAATACGTCAGCTTTCTCAGAAGTGCTGAACTATTTCAAAAGGTCACCACGTCGAGAATTTGTCCGTCGAGCAAATTTTTCCAAGCCTTGAAAATCGATCCCTCCATATCATTACACTTTATTGCACTTGTGTTTCGGCCCAGAAAACCTCACCAAGCGTGTTTTTACAACACATCCCGATTCATATAAAAATAAAACACCCTTGGTCACTCTTCTGGTACGCTCCTGCATTTCGTCTCACATACAATACAAATGCAACTGTGAGATTTTTCCACTAAACTATGAGTTGATGGCGCAGGTGAAGGCGCTGCTAGTACAAAATTAGTTAAACAATGGGCCCATAACTATGACTAATCAAAGTGCGCAGAAGCATAATTTTTAGCTACATTTTATTAACGATAATACTCCTGAAAATGGTACAACTTCACAAAGGACGGCTCAACGAAACTGAGTAGAACATGCTGCATATGACTTTCACATTTTCCCACGTCCTTTTATGAATTACAGCCTTAGAAAGCGCGAGTTCCAACCAACATTCCCGTCCCCAAAAGCACTCCAAGCCCACTGCTAAGCTCTGCGAGCGTTTACGACAGCCGGGGGGGGGGACTTCTGGTATTCGGTGCTTAAGAAATACCTTGGCTGTCTGCGAATTCTAACTTAAAGGACTACGGTTGCATCCTATAAAATGAAGGATACGAGCGTGAAAATCGTCTTTTAATAGGAAAATTAGTAGTTTTTATCATAAGGGGAGTTTGCTCGATGTTACGTTACAAAAAAAGACGGAAAAACCTACCTCTCCTTTCCATGTAAGTTACTTTGTCCACTATAACAGCTGCATTTTCCTCTAGCTTAGACAAAGCCTCCTCCAGCTGACCAGCTTCGCAGAGAATCATGTTTTGATAAAGCACTAACTCGGAATGTTCAAAGTCATATGATGTGGGCTAAAAGTTGATAAAACCTAAAAACTATAGCAGCAAAAAACCCAAGTAGAAAGCTTTTATCCCGTGAAAGCTTGTCGACAAGAAAGCAAGATAAGAAAAATTGCTTACCTTGTTGTTCTGAAGAAATTCTGCTAGAATGGTCAGAGCCTTTTCATAATCTTTCAGAAGATGATAAGCAGTTGCATATCCTATCCAAGATACCCGTTGTGTTGGACGAAGTCGTAGCAAGTGATACCGCGACTCCTTGAAAATCGATGATCTTTTCGTGTACACTTTTCATCAAAATAAGTGAAGCACCACAAATGAATCACCTTGTACCCTTCAAAATCCCTCATTTGAATTTGGAGTAATGCTAAGTCCCGCAAAATTTGCATATTATCTTTGTCAAGGAGCAGAGCCCTCTTATACGCCTGGAATTAACATCGATAGTGGCTGAGGATGCATAAAAAATAACTTGAACGCACCTTAATAGCTTCATCATATTTCTTATCAGAACGTTGGACAAGCCCATACACATGCCAACAAACGTACGATTTTAGGTCAGCCTATAAAAACAACTAAACGAAGAAGAAGGGAACTCGGATCGAGAAAAACCACACTACACGTCAGGATGATCACTACCAGAATGTTCGTGACTGCTACAATGATTCGCGAATCGTCGTGGCAGTCAGAAACATTTGCCACTGTTCACGCGCATTTCATGTGGAACGTATAGTGTTACTGAGTCAGCGAGCGCCTACACGTCATAATCTGATGCTTTAAACTCCTAACTTCTCTCAAATATTGATGGAACTGCTTACAATTATGCAAGCAAGCCATCGCAAAAAGGAAGAAATACGAGGCGTCGCAGCGCTATATTGTGTGAAGAGAAAATGGTGGCTTGGAGTAAATGTAAAAGTTACTTTGAACGAATGTTATATCGCCTACATGGGACGCTCAGAGTCGGTCTATGCCACTGTGTTCCTCCTTGAAATAAACATGATCCAAAGGTAAATAAAAAGTTTGGGGGGGGGGGCGCTCCCTGTTATCTTATCCGTAGCACCAAAACACTCCCTTTGGCTTTCTAACACTGAGGGTAGGATCACAAGTAAACGACTGCCTTTTAGTGCACTTCCTCATAAGGGCCTGTGTGTGTACCACATCTCACACATCCTGCCCATATCCTAGGCAATTTTTGGCACCTCGTTCACCTGGGGTCCTCTACCCTCAAGGTCGACGGACTACTTGAACTAAGCCCTTTAAACCGCCTCTAGCGCTCTCTCACGAGTCCCTCTCCTCTCCAAGGCTTAGTCCTAGGGCATTCACCCGTTCTC